GGGAGAGAAGTGCAGCAATGAATGAATGGAAATCCAAAATCTCTGTAAATGTTCATTAAAATTCTTTTTAAAAAAGGATATAGGATTAAGTATTATTGTCATGACAGGAGTCTAGAATGAAGGATGCATAGTGGAGTGGACTTGAGGAGAGGAACTGTATAATAGTGAAAGAATTTTTCTTTTACTTTTCAAAGAGAAGAGCAAATTTGGGGGGAGAGGTGGGCAGGAAAAAAGTACAAAAATGAATGAATGGGGAAAAAAATAAACTACACAAACTCACAGCCAAATAAATTATGTTAAAAAGAAAACAAAACAAACAAAAACAATAAACTGGTCCTACTAGAGATTTCCTCTTAGAAGAGATTTATAAAGTATGCTATTTCACACAGACTGGAGAGCCCAGTAAGCTCCCCCATGTTCTCACTTGTTAGAAATATGAAAAAAGTTATATTGGTTGTCAAACTGAAAAAGAAACTCCATTAAATATAAAGAGAGCCTTCTAAGGAGAAATGCACCAAATAAAATCAGTTATCTGATAATGAATTAAGTAGAAAGGCCTGATTATCACAAATATCAATGTTTACTCTCATTTAGTATCAAAACTGGTATAGTTAGCACAACACAAATATTTCTTACAATAACTTTTTTTAGGAATTCCGTTATCAGTGACATATTTACGTATGTGACTTTGATATCAGCATAATGTATTAAAAAACTTATTTTATTACTACATATAAATTTAGTTTATTTGGCATGCTAATCTTTGTGTCAATTATAAATTACTAAAATGTCTATTTAAGAATGCTTCCCATTTAAGTTATTAATGAAGAAACAGCTTTGGTTTATAAGGATAATACTCCTTTTCTCTCCCTGCAGCTATGTATTTTCAACTGATGAGAAAACTTGTGTATGTTTTAATGGTTAATTAAAAGACTAGGTCTTAGGGAGAAGGAATAAAACAACAGTATAAGGACATGCACTTCTGGACAAAGTATCTTTTAACTAAACTGTTAATTAAGCAGAAAACAAAATATTTCAAGACATTTGTTACAAAGTTTTATTCTAATAACTTAAAAGTGGCTCTGGTGCTTGAGTCTAGATTGCCAACCCAAAAAGGAGCAGTTTAAATACATCAATTGCTCCGAAGGATAAAGATGGGCAATCTTTTCTCATATGATTTACAGCCTCTCAAAACCTGCTGGAGGTTTAGCTATGAATTGGTTCTAATTCCACAGTAAAGAGTTTGAGGGTTTCTTCCTTTTGTATAACTTATGAAACTTACTTCTGGACCTAACAAAAACTGTAAATTTCATCAGAGACAAATTGGGATCAAACTTATATTGCCTAGTCTATGGTATAAAGAGACTGCCAAATACAGCTAGAAATGCTCAATCTGGAGGGTATAAAATTGATGATTAGAACCTTCTACAGATTAAATCCCTGTAAACATAAAAAACTTGGCAATACCATTTCAGACAAGGGTCTCATATCAAAAGTTTACAGAATCCTTCCTACAGGGCTTCCATTAAGAAAAAGACTCATCACACAATTACAAAAAAGGGAAAAGAAATGAAGACTTTTCACAGAGGAAGATACTCAGATGGCACACAGACACATAAAGAAATGCTCAAAATCACTGGCAATAAGAGAAATGCAAATCAAAACCACAATGACATACCATCTTACTCCAGTAGCAGTGGCAAAGTTTAACAGTATAGCAAGTAATAAATGTTGGTGAGGATGCAGAGAGATAGGAACTCTCATACACTGACTGTAAAATGGTACAACTACTCTGGAAGGCAGTCTGAAGTTTCCTCGGAAAGCTGAACATAGAAATCCCACATAACCCAGCTATTCCATGGCTTGGAATATATCGTGAGAAAATGAGAACTGAGGCACAAATGGAGACGTGTACACCAATGTTCACAGCAGCATTATTCACCACAGCAAGAACACAAAAACAGCTCAAATGTCCAACCACAATGGAATGGATTAAGAAATTATGGTACAGTCACACTGTAGACTACTATGCAGTACACAGGAGTAATGATTTTGTAAATTACTACCTAACTTGGGAGGGAATGGAGAGCATTATGCTAAGTGAACTAACTAACTCAGTCCCATAAGGACAAATATCTAAGACCATTATTGTAGAACAAGTATGAGGATCCAAGGAGGCAGAAGGGTGAGGATGGGGGGAGTATTAATCATAGGGTTGCAAAATTTGATGGGGTGAGGGGTAAGTAATGGAAATGGGAAAGATCTGGTATGAAAAACAATGTATACAAACTTTGTAAATAAATGAATGAAAAAAAAATATATATATATATGAAGAAAAATTTAGGATAGAGTAAACTAACTTGAGTTCATAAGGACTGCATAAGACCATGATTGTAAAAACACAAGGATAATTAGTAAGATGTGTATAAATGTCCAAAGAGGGAAGAGGAGGAGGCAGGTGGATTGAGGGTGGGACCAGGAGGGCAGGGAATCATGAGATTGTAGTTTGGTGAGTGGAGGGAGGGTATGAAGGAATTAGGAAAGATCCAGTGGGGAACTGAAAAAGTGGGATAATAGTGATCACAGATAAAGAGTGATTAATCTTCTAAGAAACAATGTAAGGGAATGATTGTATGAAACAGAATGTAAATGAAAAAAGTTTAGGACAGCTGAGTTTACAGATACTGTTATTCTAATGAATTACTATTATAATAAATACCTTTTGTAGACTGGTAGGATTTAGCTGAGTTTTGTCTATTATTTTCACAGCAACCTAAAAAGAAAAAAAAAGAGGGAATAATTAAATTGTACTAGAGAATATATGTTTTAATTAGGAAGAAACTGTCTTTTGTCTTAACTAGATATAACTTAGATCCATTTGGTGCTCACATTAGTGAATAGTAAAGCTCGGATATGTTGGCAGCCTTAGGATATATTCTATCACTCATGTCTTTAACCTATTTGATCTTGAATTTTTTTTTAAAAGGACTCTTATTTATTTCTTCCAAGTGTTTCCTACTAATAATAACGTTGAAACTTAATATTTTACTCGTGATCTTAATAAATAACAATGAGCTGGAAGATATATAAACTTGAAGTGAAATGGTTTTATTGATGAAGCACTCAAGACACTCAAGCTCACTAACTTACAGAGTAACAAAACAGACTTGAATCCTCTAAATCTGTGCTTAGGATAGCTTGTGCTGTAATAGCTCCAGGGTTAGAACACACGGAATGAACTATATACTCAGTGACAAAGGACAATAATATTGGCAAAGAGCAAAGTAAAAAGTTAAGAACATTCTGAAATTGGGTGTTTTTTTTTTAAAAAAAATAATGTTCTAATTAGATCTAGTACACATGGAATAAAGAATGTCAGATATTAAATTAATAAAAATAAAGCCTTCAACATAATCAAATAGACTTAGAAATGACATATACATATGTGTAAACATAAAAAAATTTACATGAATACACATATCTTAAACACAAATATAATTATCCTACTACCTAAGAAAAACATCAGTATAACACCACTTATTTTATGTGCTCTATGAACTTTGATAATGATAGTTATAGAAAGGTTTCAGGTCTTTGGTTCAGAGAATCACTATGAGTTGTGCTCGATTAGACAGCAATCAGCAACAACTAAATTGATACAAATTTGGGGGTGACTTTCCGCACATTTACATCAATTTTACTCTAAACTGTCATTAATAAGAATTGTGTCTAGCTCTGTTACTGAGGTTTGGTAACAAGGACAATCAGAAATGTTTACCGGCAGCCTTAAGATCAAAGACAGAAGCCTGAGGAAGGTAACGTCTGCAGTGCACCTGATGTATTAAAGATGCTAATATGATTCTTTTTCAAATCAGTTAACATGTTAAAAATACAGATTTAGCTACCAAAATTCCATTCACAAATAACTCATTGCTTACCATATGTTAGCTGTGGTTTGTTCCCCAACATTAGTTACAGGAAAACTTTTTAATAAGACTCTAGAGAGGCTGAAGGAAATATTAAAAGGCATTATGAAAACTTACCTCTCTACCAGTCAGAACATGTCTTGCCAATTTGACTTTAGCAAAATTTCCTTTCCCTATTGTTTTCTGTAAACGATAATTTCCAATGTGAGGCTGCTCATCTGCTGCTGATGTAATGGAGTTTCGACACCGGGGAATGTTCTGTCGGCTACTTGATTTGGTAGGCTGGATGTGCGGTTCGGTGTATCCATCCACAGATGTATGCTAAGACAAAGGTGACAAAATTTCAGTGTTAATTATTTATAACTTCTACCAGACATCAGCTTCATCTTGTAGGGAAAGGGAGAATAACTATTCAAAGTGAAAGGGTCTACCACATATCACATGGTTTCTGAGTGCTGTTGTCAGGTTCTGTCAAATCAAGTATGATTCATAGCCACCATACAAACAACAGATCTGAATCTGGTCCTATGTTTTAATTTTAAAAAGTGGATAGCACAGAGTCTCACAGACCACTATCACTCTAAGGCTGCTTCCACATTCCAGGACTGCTTCATTTAAAGGGCAAAAATGTTCTTTACTGTCAACACAAAAAACCTAACAATTATATTTCTGTGGTGTGGTTGTTGGGTTGTTTTTTTTTTTCCAATCTAGACAAACTACTCTTGTTCACTCTTCCATTTGCCAGGCATAAAATTTAGGTCTACTGACAAACCAAGATGTGGTCTGAAATACTTGTTATACATCTGAAAGCTGGACAATGAACAGAGATGACAGCAGAAGAGTCAATGTCTTTGAGTTACAGTGTTGGAGAAGAATACTGAATATCCCACAGACTGCCAAAAGAATGTACAAGTCTGTTTTGGAGGAAGTGCAGCGGGAGTGCTCCTTAGAAGCAAAGATGGGGAAACCTTGTTTCAAAAATTTTGGGCATGTTGTCAGGAGGGGCCAGTCCTTTGGAATGGACATAATGCTAGGAAAGGTAGAGGGCCCCCCAAAAGATGGACTGATATAGTGACTGGAGCAATGGGTTCAAGCATATCAAGATCGTGACGATTGGACAGAACAATGCAATTCAGATCTCTTGGTTAACTGGCTTGCTGTAATAGTCAAGTTGGAGGCCCCTAATAATAATGAAACATAAAATAGGTTTTTTTAATGTATGCCATAGTTTGAGAACTACTGCAATAAATAAGGAAGAGGTAAATGCACAGCTCTTCACTGACATAGAAATTTCTTTATTTTCTAGGCATTTCTAAGATTGAAATTGCTATAATATTTCTCACAGATGGTACGTCTCATCTAAATAAGGCTGGCTTGTCAATTTGTTGAGATAATAAGACTGTCCATCTCATCACGAAGCAGGGTTACTTACTTATGCCTTCTTTTCTGCTGTTACCTACACACACACACACCCTCTCTACTATCAGCATTATCACACCATTTTCTAAGTATTTGTTACTGATTTGTTTTCATATAACATTCCTAAAACTCCACAACTTAATATAGTGTAGACACTCACTAGGCTACATTGAAGGAGTATAGAGTATTTAATGTATGGTCCACAAATGTTGTACTATAATGGCTTTCATGTTGCTGTAATACTGAAGTAATGCCACTATTAGTTTAAATATCAGTATGGTTACCATGGTGGGAAGATTTCGGTAGAGTTTCCAAATGAACATAGATTAAGCAGAAGTATTGCTACCCTCTTATGAAATAACTAAAACCTTCTGAATAGCAATAGAAAATATACAGTGGCACAAAATAAGATCCTCAGATTGGAAAACACTCAAAACATAACTGGGAAAAAGTTGTCTCCTCAAATTACATTCCACTTTAATGATACGGATTTCAGTCAATGACAAAGCTTTCAGTCAATTAAGGGTCTACATTTACTGAGAAAGAATGAAAGTAACTGAGGAGTTCTCCCAACTTCTACTGATCAAAAATGTTGCTAAGTTACATTAAAAAAAAAAATAACTGATTATTGGAATACAGAGGTAGGGACAGAGAAGGGTACAAAATACCATCAACCGTTCACATGCAAGTTTAAGTCGAAGCTAAAGAAAATGAAATCAAGCCCCTTCACCATCAAAATATGACCACAAGTATACCTCAACTAAGTATTAATTCAGAGACCTTTTGAACAATCAATGGGTTCCAATGAACAGTAATGCCTGAACACCATGTTGGTTAAAAGAAGACATAGATGAGCCTTTCTACAAAGATGGCATGGAAAGCCAAAAGGAAGCCCCTGCCCCTCCCCAAACTGAAGCCAAAGCAAAGGCATTAAAGGCCAAGAAGGCAGTCCTGAAGGGCATCCACAGCCAAAAAGAAAAAAAGATGACCAATAAGCACCAAATCAAATAAGCTGTAAAGAAGCTCTATGACATTGATGTGGCCAAGGTCTACCTCTTGGTTAGGCCTGATGGAGAGAAGTAGGCCTATGTGCAACTTGCTCCTGACTATGATGCTTTGGATGTTGCCAACAAAATTGGGATCATCTGAGTCCAGTTGGCTAATTCAAAATAAAAATTTTTCTCACACACACAAAAAATAACACAGATGAAAAAAGCCAAAAGGCATGAGAAAGGACCAAAAGGAGAGTCAGAAAAGGCTGTGAAACTTCCTCTAGAAAGAGAATCTTAAGTGAAAGGAAGAAAAAAATGAAGTAACAAACTTGAACATAAGATTTTTTAAAAAATTGCTTTAGAAGCCAAATCAAAATATGAATAATGAGAACAATGCTCATTATGTCTCGGCTGTAAGTACGAAAGAAAAACTCAAGCTTAAAGCTGCAAAACTGAAAGACTCTAATGATGCAGGAATTATTTTTTTAAAAATATGAAAAGAATATACCAAAAAAATTGGCCAATGTTCAATCATTCCTGAAGGTAACAAATTATTATGAGCCAATAGTAGTGAAGGAAGAAATTGAAACTTCACTGCAGATACTGGAAAAAATAACACTCAAAAAACCGACAAGCTGAAGTATTTCAATAAACAGATGCAAAGTTGAATGTGCTCTCTAGTCTATGCCAAGATATTTGGATGAAAGCTACCTAGAAGACATATACACTTGTGCCTATTCCAAAATAATGCTGATTCTAAACTTTTAGTGAAATAGCAAACTAATGAGACCAGCAAACCTGCCTCTCTCCCATAGGGACACCAAAGGACTGGGAAGCCCAGTCATGGATAATTTTCAAGCATTCTGAAGTATGAGGGTAATCACTGAGGATAAAATCAGGCACAAAGGAGAATGAAGGTATAAGTAAGGATCAAGTAAACAGAAACAAACAGCAGCACCACATTCAGGGCTGGATTTAGCTGAAGTTCCACAAAAACAGAAGGGAAAAAAAGACAAATGGGTTAGATCTACCAGTATTAGATGATCACCATGGAGAAAACAGGGCTCTACCTCCCCACTGCTTGTAGACAACTGGTTGAGCTTTCATCTCAACAGGTAGGACATTCTTGGGTCCTTGGGCATGACCCTCCTCTTAAGGCAAGCTGAACAATGCTATCGTGAGCCCAGGATAAGAGGTTCCAAGCTGACAGGAGTTTAAGAGACTTCAATAAGGCCATTTTTAATTTGGTGGTAAGAAAGTCAGCGCAGAGGGTGAAGATATGCATATGACAGAAAAAGCAACCCCCTAATGCAAATGCTCTACCCATAGATATCACTTGGGACTGTCACACCTTCAAGAATCTCTCCAACCTGTGATCCAGTGAACTGCAGACACTGGAAGATGCTGGCTAACTGGCTTGACTGAGGAACACTCAAGAAAAGTCCAGGCTACATACACCACAAGCACATTGTAGGATGCAACTTGAGTAGGCCCTGTCTTTCAGTACTGTCCTATGGCTGACCATGCCCTCCACCAACCCAAAGCCTGGAGCTGCACTCACCTGTAACAACAGGTGAAAAACCTAAAGGTGCAGCAAAATAGATACCTGATTCACAGAGTCAAGATTCAGAAATTTACTGGCTCAGCAGGTACACTGCAAATACAGGCAGAAACTCAAGGATCCCTACTGCAAGAGATAGCAGAGAAAGGAAACAATCTGTGAGAATTTTCACTGGGTTGTTTCTTGCACCATCCACATTGAGGACTCAGGACTAGTCACCCACATATTCTACTAAAGCAAGGTTCAGCACACACCCTACTTGCCCATCCTTACACAGCAACTACTATTCCATAAACCAACAGCACTGAACAACTAATGAACAGCTAATTACACAGAAATGCCAGTGGCTATTATACATACACCAAGAAAAAAAGAGGTTAAAAAATGTATAATACAAAATCACGACAATGTCCCAGAAGCAGCAAACAACATCAAATCCGATAAAAATGAGCAATCAAAACCAAGATATCAGAAACAACAACAAAAAGAGCAAAGCACAAAGACAGTGGACCTCCCAGAGGAGGAAAGGTTGACTGGATTCTCTGAGAAGCAACCACAATGATGCTCAAGTGTTTTCACAGGATGGAGGATAATATGAAGAACTGAAGGTATGGAAAACTCTAGAAGAACTTAAAAAGTCAATACAAACAAAGTAAATTTAACTAATGAAATATTAAAAGCCATAGAGAAATAAGAAATTTCAATTGTAAATAAAGATCAATATTTTAGAATCTGTTGACACAATGGAAGGACAAAAGAAGAGAACTAAAGAAATGGATATAGAATCCGTGAAACAGAAGAAAAAGTCTTTAACATTAATCTGATAAAAATAAAGAAAATCCTAAGAATTATGTGATATATCATAAAGAGGAATAACATGTGTGATTGAAGTAACAGAACAGGAAGAGACAGGGGGAAAAAAGGCACTGAAAAGCTATGGAAGAGTTACAAGAAGAAAACTTTTCAGGTATCAAGAAAAATTAAAAATACACATGTAAGAACCCGAATGAAGCCCAAACAAGACTGATAACAAAAGGAAAACCGACATAGCAATTCCCCAAAATAAAATTAAAGGATATAATATTGAAAGCAATTGAGAAAAGCAAAGCATTACCTACAAAGAATTGCCAGTAAGATTAAACTTCAATTCCTATCTGAACAGTCTGACTGTCACTGAAGACTGATAAGATCCAACTCTGACCTCAAAAAAAAAAAAAAAAAAAAAAAAAAACTTCAATTCCTCAGCAAAAACCATGTGAGCAAGATAATGGTATGATATAGACAAAACTGTAGGGGAAAAAATCCCCCAAACCAACAAAGGAAAATCCTGTCCCCAGCATTACTGTCCA